AATATATTTTTGTTGTCAAAGTTTCTAGCTAAAAGGCGTATACATTTTATATGCCATCGTACTTGGTTAATTGGGTGTACAAAAACAGATTTACAAATTGGTGAGAAAATCATCTGAATTCAATAAATGCAATATTTTATTATTATTATTATTTTGTAATCAGTTTTGCATACAACTTTTATATGTCTTCATGAATCAAATTTATTTAAAAAATCAGAAAGCATACAAAAATGGTAATAAAATAATAACAGTTTCAACAAAAACAAATTTATTTTCGTAATATTTAAACTTTTTGCTCTCAACATAAATAATGATTGAGGAGAGGTTTTTGGGTGGTGTCTTGAGCCGACGTTGCAAAGTTCGAGCTGAAATTTGTTTAGCAAACTATTGCTGCACTTCAGATGCAATTTCTATAGCATTTTTGAAGCGATCTTCGTTCTAAAAATAACTCTCTGTGCATTTTTCCCTGCTTTATTGTTCCTTCCTTCTCAATTTGTCCGTCTAACGATCTTTTTTCAAAAAGCGTCGAAGTGAGCTTTCATGGAAATTAGTTTTAACCGCTATTTTACAATTCAATACATTTTGTTCATCCAATGCAATCATTTTGGGTTTTTCAGTGAGGGTCTTCTGAAAATAATCGCGGAGCTTCATAAATAGAAAAGGTAAAAGTTGCAATAACCATAAAGGGCCTTCATTTGCCGCTGGGCTTACATATATATCAACATTTGAATTTTCTAGAAGGCCTTCACTGTCGAGGTGAACACAATCACAATAAAGGAGCGATTGTGGACATATATCGATATATTTGATGCGTATATCGTTCAAGGCGATATTCGCTGATACTTGGAAAATTAAATACTTGGGCTATCAGTAACATCGATATATCTTTTCACAAGAAAAAATATAGGTCTCGATTCTCAAGTCAATGTATTCACATATATATATACTCGATATCTAGTAGTTGTTTGTCAAAAGTCTATCTCTAGAACTCGGTCACTCTGACAACCGGAGAAAAATTTTGTTTCAGCATTTTGTGTGAGACGCATTTTACATACGTATAAATATATATATCTGTAATTGTGTAGGAAGAATTTACGAGAAAATTAACGAAATTTCAAAAAATGGCTGCGCCAATGCAACATGAAGATTTGCTTAAGCTGAAAGGCTTTATTGATTTTGTCAATGCAAATCCTACTGTATTGAATATGCCTCAATTGCAATTTGTAAAAGATTTTGTGGAAAAGTTCGGCGGTAAGGTGCCTGAGGGCGATTTCAAGATGCCGGACGCTGGGTAAGTGTGTGTTTATGTGTGTGTGTGTGCGTGCGCGTAATAGCTGGGTAATCCAAATCCTTGCAAGTTTTTCTTAAATATTCTCTGCTTGTTTAGCAAATGCCCTTTCGGTGGCGATGCCGGTTCCAAGGCGAAGCCGGCTTTTACGGCTGCGGACGATTCAGACAAAAGTGATGAAGACGCAAGCGTTTCGGAGCCAGAGTCCGATGTCGAATTGGATATGGAAGGTAAGACTACTAAACGCCAGGGACATACAACATACTGAAAATGAAGAATACAAAATCACGTGTCCCAATTGGTGAATTTCCCAACCTCAATTTGCATTTCTGTCTGCAGGTGTCATTGAAGCCGACAACGAACCAGCTCAGCCAATGGGTGATTCAGAAAAAGTGCCCACTGAGGAGGAAATCGATCAGGCCAGCGAATTGCGTGGTCAGGCCGCTGCTGCTTACAGCCAACAGAAATTCGACGAGGCCATCAATCACTATACCAAGGCCATTGAGCTGAATCCGGGCAATGCCTTATTCTATGCCAAGCGCGGTCAGGCCTTCTTGAAGCTAAAAAAGCCGAATGCATGCATTCGTGACTGCGACAAGGCTTTGGAATTGAACTGTGACTCGGCAGCTGCCTACAAGTTCCGCGGACGCGCCAATCGCCTGCTCGGCAAGTTTGAGGAGGCCGCCAAGGATTTGCGTCAGGCTTGCAAGCTGGACTTTGATGAAGAGGCCGACGAATGGTTGCGTGAGGTGACACCAAATGCCAAGAAGATCGAGCAGCACCGCATCAAGCAAGAGCGCAAGCAGGCTGAGCGCAAAATTAAAGAGCGTCAGCGTGCTCAAAACAGGGCTCGCAAGGAGCAGGCCAAGCAAAGCAGTGCTGGAGCCGGCTTTCCGGGAGCCGGTGGCTTCCCAGGTGCTGGTGGCTTCCCAGGTGCTGGCGCTTTCCCAGGTGGCGGTGGCGGCGGCATGCCAGCCGGCTTTGATATGGGCGACTTGATGTCAAAAATGAAGGATCCAGAAGTGGCAGCTGCCATGCAAGACATACTGGCCAATCCGGCTAATATTTCCAAATACATGTCAAATCCGAAAATCTTCAACTTAATGAAGAACTTTTTCCCGGGCGGCTTCCCTGGTGGCGGCGCCGGTTTCCCAGCTGGCGATGCTGATGCTGACAATTCCACCTTCAATGACTCGGAGGCCAAGCGCGCCAACAACAGTGAACCAAAGGCCAAAAAGGAATCACCTGACTTCGTGGATGATGGGCTCGATTAAACATTACTAAGCTGGCAATAACGCAGCAGCAATAAACAAAATTACCAAAAAGCAAGCGAATTGAAAAAGAAAACAAACAACACACAGAGACACACACGCATACTTATGAGTTAGAGCGAGATAACAACACGCGATGATAGGGAGCGATAGGAAGAAGTCTAGAATATTGAATCATTACCTTAATAATTAATACAGTTTAGACACTTAAGCGTTGCTGCTGCATCAGAAAAAAAAAACAAGAGCAAGAGAAAATGTTTCCTTATAACTTTAACATAAATTTATCGATGATATCTAGTTGAACTAAAGCTCGATAAGAGAAAAAACAACACAAGCTAAATAAATGAACACATTTAAAATTACAGAAACAACATCTACACATACGCAAAGACACACACACACACACAAACACATACATACATATACACATAATCGAAGCATACACATTAAAAAATTAGCCTTAATTCTAATCCAATGCTGAAGATGATAAAACGAAATACAGTTAGATATATACATATACATATATATATATATACTTATATGTATTTATATATACACAAACAGCTGAAATACGAAAATTATAAATTGTACTGATCGCAGGATTTGAATTCTATATATTGTTATAAACAAATGCATTTAACGGTCATCACACACATTCACACACCCCCACGGGCGTTTTTATTAAGGCCAAATTCCAATCGATATTAAGATGCGCCTTCGCATTGTTCTTGGCCAATATATTGTCAAACGTCATTAAATCATTCATTGAGCCACACACACATTTACATATACACCACCCAAGTCAAAATCATTGATGAAAATAAATTAATGAGAATTGGAACTGCAATCGACTCGTGTTTTCTCAATTTAATAAGCCTTATAATGGAGCATACATGTACCATATATATTGCCTGCCTGCCGCAAAATCGCAATTTAATGTATTCATAAATGGAAGGTGAAATATTAACGCAACTGTTGAATCATTAATTGAGTAATAATTTAGAGGGAATGCCATTACTACAATATTCTGCACTGCAATTGGAAAATATATTATTATATTGTATACGCATATATATAAATATATACATAACATACATACATACATTATTTATATGTTGATATTAATTTATAAAAAAACATGAAGCTATTGTAACAACCTTGACGCCCCAAAGTATGCAATAAACAAAAGACTTGCTAGATATGTATATATATTTGGAACATGAATACAATAAGTTCGATGATGATGATAATGCTGTGCTTGTTGTTGGTATTATTCACATTTAGGAAACGCCTCGCAGCACGATTTGCATAATAATTAAATATGAGCCGAAGGCAATATGAGTGACTGTATTATGATAGCTGTGTACTTGATAACGATGAGTCGCATTGATAATTGCAAATATGAAAGTTTTTTCAAGTACCCCGTATGAATGAGATATGAAAGGTTAATAAACTCCCTGTTATGGCAGAACTTTTACCTGAAACAAGGTGAGTTTTGAAAAATAACAGAACGTTATTTTAAAATTTTTAAGATTGCTTCATTTTAGAATATTCATTCGAAACCCGTATATTGAAATTTTTGCTTATCATATAATTAATAATAGAATTCTATTCATATATTTGTATGATCAAGATCATGTAAATAATGAAAGATTTTTAGATTCAGCAAGTTTACGTGGAACAACCTAGTCCAGCATTTTCTGTTTAAATTTATTCGCGTTTTCCTTGAGACAGTCGCAGCCAGTAGCAACAGCGCAGTTAACCCAAACAGTATCCACAAACACACACACACACACGGTCGCAAATGCATATTATTTTTTATTGCATTACTCATAGTCACCCCATTCTCCTAGAGCGCGCGCACTCTCACTCTCTTTTTCAGTCCTCTCTCTCTCTCTCTCTCTCACTCTAACAAGTGACTCACAGGAACTGATAGCCTCGCAGTGCAATAGCAGCAGTCGCCGCTCTCGCCGCGCTTACTCATTAGATAAATTGTAATACGAAGAGCAATTAACCGTTACAATGGCCAATTCTGCTGTTGTGCCCAAACAAAATGCACTAACAATAACAATAACAATACCCATAAAAGCGCGCGACATTGATGTGAAGTTATTTTTTGTTTGTTGCTTATCGTAGATTCATGACGTCATGGTCGTCATCGTTTCGCTGACTGGTTCTTGAGTGAATGAGTCGCGCTACCACTCAACAACAACAGCAACAACAATAAAACCACCAACAACAACAGCAACTTGTTGTGCTTTGTAGTAGATTTGTTTGCTTATTCGCTTCTTGTTTTTGTACATTAGCACTGCGGGCGTGTACGTTGACGCCGCTGCCGCTGCCCTCGGAGCAGCCAAGCTGTCATCCGGCCAGCCGGCCAGACGGCGAGCCAGCCAGCTGGCAGAGGCAAAAGGCGTAAACGAAATTGAAAATACTTTTGCAGTTTCAGTTTCGTTTTTAACGTACGCGCGCCAAGACGCAAAAGCAACAGCTCGAAAACCAAACGCATTGCCCAATACGAATTCTAAATACAAAACACAAGTGTGACCAGCGCCTGCGAATTCAATTCGTGTATCCAAAAAGTAAGCGATCGTATCGAAAATTTATGCGTAAACTAGGCAGGCAGACACGCTCACATACATATGTATATGCATACACTCATGTGTGCAAGTGTGCGTGTGAGTGCATGTTAAGAATTTAAAATTTACACGTTTGACTAGCTCCAATTTTGCGTGCGCGTGGATGAAACGTAGACATTTTTTTAAAAAACCATAACAAATTGGCAAGCGATCAAGTTCAGGGCGTGGCATATTATCATTCACATACAGAAACGACACCGAATTCCCAAGGAACGTGCCCACTGAGTGGGTCAATAATAATGAGCTCCATTAGCGATGATCTCATTGCGGGACACTCGCAGAACGCAGCCGACGCCGCAAGCAGGCAAGCGGCAAAAATGCAACAACTTAATAACTGATTGCTTCAATTACCGTTATCAGTTTTTGCTCTTGCTTTTGGTGCGCTGCCAATCAGAACTCTGATTAGGTCCCTTTGCTGTTTCTGCTGCTGTTGTTTGTTTGCGGTTCTTTCATCAACGAAATACAAATTTATATGCGCAAGATATTAGTCAACTTGTTTTAAGATTTTGGCTTTTGTTTGATAGTATTCAAAGCACATTTCTGATATATAAACATGGTTCGAGCATGATATCATTTTCAGAAAAAAAAAAAAAAAAAAAAAATTAAAACCGGCGCCTGTTGCTACCTTTGGATACTTTTTTTTTTATTGTTGACGACATTTGAAAAAAAAATACGTGAAAAAACAAGAAGCACATGTATGTATGTATACATGTACATACATACATTTTTAAAATGCAGACCCTCGAGAGCGTAACGGAAATCCGCTCACTAATCAGCATAAAATGTGGTTTGGTTTGTTTTGAATGCCTGTTTCTTCAGCTTCTTCATTTGATTGGTGTTTTTGTTGTAGTTTTGAAGAGGGCAGGGTTCGAATTCGAAACTTGAATCTCGTATTATTTGTTTTGTAATTTGTTACGTCATCGCATTCGACCAGGGTAAATGCTGTAGAGGATGGCGTCATTGTTTTTGTTTTTTGTTTTTTGTGCTGGGAGCGTCTGACTAATGTCATAAAGACCTTGATGCCACAGACGAGGCATTCCATACATACATAAGCAATGAGCAATGAAAAGTGTAATTAGATAGATTAGTGGAAATGGTAAATAAAACTTGTTCAGACAGATGCTCGATCTGCAATCTGAGGATCTACTAATGTACATACATACATACATGTGTATCTCAGTATGTAATTGTTATACTGAGATTCATATGTACATACATATGTATATGTGCATATAGACATGCCGATCTTTAAGCAATCGCCCATTGCTTCCACTCGCTCAACACTTGCCATTTGGGCACACACACATACACACACACGCATTTACGCGCGCCCCCATTTCAAAAAGTTTATAGACAAAAATCATGCACACACACATATATATATATGTGTGAACCTATGAATATATGTATGTATGTGTATACAGTATGTATGTATGTGTGTATATTTTAACAAAATTTTCAATTTTCCATCGAAATATTTAGCTGAAGCACAAAAGGCAGCAGCAGCAGCAGCCATAAATCCCATGACGTCACTCTACGGCTATAAAAGACGAACACTGATACATAAAGAGCGAGAGAGGGAGTGTGGGTGTGTGTTTGTGTGTGTGTGTGAGAGAGAGAGAGAGGCATATACTATGTATGTAGGCATGACAGTAAATAGATTTTCATGTTTCTCCTGCGCTTTTCTCAATAACATTTGGCGCGCTCAGCGAGGCCGAAAATTCGAAAATGTTTAATTTTAGAATTAAATAATAACAAATTATTTTGGCCAAAAATACTACAGTGCGATTGGGCATGGCCAGGGGGCGTACCTAGGGCAGCAGCAGCAACAGCAACAGCAGATCTGTAACAACTGTAAAAACATTGGAATTCAACCAACAAACAACATAAACAATTATTTACTTATGTAAATATGGCATTGTATACAAACGGACAATATTCGAAATCAAAACTTAGTCGGGTTTTCAATATTTTCAATTAGCAACTTCCAAAAAATACGAAGAGATCAAAATTTACATTTTATATGTAGACATGAATATTTGTATAGATTAATGGGTCCTATAAGCTTCTCTACATAAACACATATGTATATATCTATATATATATTTATTTAAAAATACTGAGGGGACGTAAATATCTATAATAAATAAATAAAATACAAGTTCTCAATATAAAGTTGTTATAGGATTTTTAAATAAATAGTTAGTATTCTTGAAGAAATCGTAGTTTTTTTTTCGAATATTAATACAATTTTTTATCTGCATGGGAGTAATTTTCATTTTCAATATATTTATGCATACATATTTTTGCATATTTATAGTTAGCTTTAAATCAGGAACTATTATAGCTTCACTAAAGTTTTCCTCCCGTATTTCTTATTAAAAATATTATAACAAAAAAAAAAAAAAACTAAAGATTTCGAACTGCGATGTAAATTCTTTTATGAATTTCTATAAAGCTTCAATTTAGAATATTTAAATAAATACTATGAATGTACCTAATTTTGTGCAATGAATGAATAATCCATATTTATTAATTATACTATGAAAGCAATTCGTGTCTACTTGTTTAAATAGTTCGATTGAAAGCTGCTAATTGGACAATTGGTTTCCTTTCTTTCAGACCCAAGAAACACCCACCTTAACCAGCCACCGCCTAAGTAACCACCGCCAAGATGTCTCACTCCGTGACCATAACACGCACTACCACCAGCACCACCAACACCTCCTACATTGTGCTAAACACTGGCTACATTAAGACCTTTCCGGGTATTTTGAAGCTCTTCCAGCTGGTAATTAAATTGTTGCATAATTGTTGGTCCACCCTAATAACTCAATTTCTGTGTGGTGCATAGCTCATTGGCGTTGCTGTGGTCACCCTGATGGCGATGCACTACAGTGATAGTGTCTACTATCGCCAACAGCAATATCTGTTCCACTACTTGATGGCCACCACATTTATGATAGGGACATTTTGTTTATTCCTAGCGTGTCTCACATCGCTAAGCACGGGCGGACTCATCGCCAAGACAATCTACGTGAGTGAACAAAATATTACGATAGTTCTAATTTGAGCTGCGATTGCAAATGTAATTTAATCAACCTCAATTGGGCTATTCCATTTATAGGAGCTGATCTATCACTCTGTTGCCGCCATACTGTTGCTCGTCTCGTCCGCCTGCTTGCTAATTAAGCTGCGTGATAACAGGCACGATGCCTATATGGCGGCCGGTGTTCTGGGCCTGGTCAACACGGTGCTCTACTTCATAAGCGCATTCCTGGCACATCGCTCGTATCGCGGCATTTAAGCGGAAAACTCAATCGCTGGCATTTTGCGAGATCTAACATAAACAGTTCATCAGAAACAGAAACAGAATTAGAATCAGAATCAGAAATGAATATAGCTATGCTATAGTCAATTACAGCACAAGCCATACAAAGGAGTCTCTCTGTTCTACTGTATAATTGTAAAAATTTTAATTTGTGGCGCTATTGAGCAATTAATCATATTACCTGCATACAAACATCTATATATACATACTATATATATTAATTTTATATCGTTTTCCTTTTTATTGTTTTAATTATTGTTTTTACTTTATTTGTGCTGTATCTTATCTCAGTGTCTGTCTTTTATACCAAACAGCATATATTGTATTCGAATAAACGTGTCTTTATGTTTTTATACAAAATGTGTTTACTTCATAAATCAAACTGATCTACCCGATATTAAAGTCCTGCTGAAGTAAGCAAAGTAACTAAATATCGAGTATCGAGTTTAAATCGACTCTTGCTTGTAAATCGAACCAGAAAGTGTCAAATTATATATATGTATTATTTGAATACTAATATACTATTAATATTTGAAGGGAAATAAAATGTTCATATATCAATAGTTTAATGCCGCAAAAAAATATATAATAATATTTAATTAAATTTTCTATATGAACCAAAGTTTGGTTCACGGGTAACAATTTTAAAGTTGTTTGGAACAGAGAAATTTGTGTAGTGCAGCCCTGGCTTTCAAACTTTAACGTCTTTCGTGATCAGAACAAGGTTCAAACTAATGAACACAATAAAAAATTTCTTTTCGAATAACTCAATGATATTAACTAATTTCAATAAAATTGGAATACATTCGTTCAAATATGTTTTATTCTGCTTCTTGTTGAAGAAAAATTTAAAAAAGGTATGAGCTATTATAAAAATCAGCTATGCTTTAAGAATTGAATATGTATACGTATATGTATGTATATATGTATGTGTATACTATTATAATATTATAAACATGGTTTGAAGAGTAATAATATTTCATAATTCAGCCTAATCCCAATTGAATTATTTTCAAATTCTTCAAATTTTTAGCTTTGAGCTTCAGAAGGCGTGCCTGTCCAATTGGAAATAATATTGACAGGAATGGATCATGAAAAAGACGACAGCAACACATATATTGATGGCTATGAAGTACATGAGTCCGACTATAAACTCATTGCACGAGAGCTCCAAAAAGGGCATGCGCTCGTGGAGTATGACCGAGTCTATGAAGAGCACCACCGAGAGGACGCCGCCGACTAGCATCATCTGTGGATCAGGTGGAGGGGGTGACAGGTGCAGGTGTGTAAGGTGTGTCGGCAATAGGCGCTTACCGCATTGGAGGTTATGAAATTAATGTTAAAGTGGCTCAGGTATTGGGCGCGTATTAGTAGCATCACGACGAACGTATAGAAAATGGTCAGCACCAGCGTCCACTTCATGTAGAAGAGCTCCAGCCAGGTGAGATGCGCACCGCCCACACTGTCTACGATGAACGTGCGCTGGCATCGATTGCTGCCACCGCCGATCGGTGGCGCCAGCTTGTAATCGGTGTGCATCGCCACATCCTGGTTAACGTACACGATCTTGTTGAGCATGTGCAGGGCACCAAAGCAGCAGATCTGCAGCAACAATGAAACAATGAGATCACGGAACAGGAATGGCAAAACAGGCCCACTCACGAAAGCGCAGAACGCTACAAAGCCGGTGCTAAAGCCCAGACCTCTGCACATCTTGCGACGACGAGCTGACAGTAGCGACTGGCCAACACAAGGAGGACACGCAATCCACATGTTGTCGCCACTGCTGGTGCAGTTGCAATCGGAGATGCCTCATGTGGGAGAAGAGCAGCTGGTTTGCATGGCTGGCAGTGAACAGTAAACAGTTTTATTTTACAAATGTTTTTTGGCGACTTTAATGCAGTTCTTAATTATAAATGTGCATGTGCTTTGTATGTGTGTTAGTGTGTGTGTATACATGTGTGGAGCTTTAAAATTAGTCAACGTATGAGTGTGCTTATGGCATGAAATTGTGTGAAATTGCCATCAAAATATAAACAAAAACTTTGGCCATATACCCAAACTAAATAAACAATATTATCATCATCATTATTATCATCATCATCATCATCATCTTCTTCATCGTCCTCTTCTGCTTTGTCAATCTCTGTCTATGTCTCTCTATTGACTAAACTTAACGCCAATGTTGTTGACGCGCGTCTGCATATGCTTCAGCACATCCTCCGAGAATTCCTCAATGGTAGTGAAGCGACTCTTCTGGAAGCTGTAAATGTCCGCCAAGAAGGCCAGCAGCTGCTCCCGAAAATAATGGCAAATATCACGTAGATTCTCGTTGGGCCCGAAAAAGCCCCAGGCCATCAGAGGTGATATCTGTTCGGATATCACATAGAAGTGGGCCATAAATCCATTTTGAAATTTAAGCATACGCTTCTTTGCCTTTAGCACCGACCAGACAGCCGTTGTCAGCGCCTGGAATAGAGAGAGAGAGAGGAAACAGAGTTTAAATAGCATTCAGCAAGTCAGCAGAGACACGGAAAGAGAGAGAGAGTGGGAGAAAATGAAGAGAAAGACTCGGAACTGGCTAGCCTCGCTTTGCTCTCTTGACAAATTGATACTTAATTAAACTGCTTATCGATTAGTTACTCCATTTCTGTTTCAGTGTTGAAAACGGTATTCGTTAACCGCTACTGTTAACCGAGTCTGTTAGCACGTTAACAAATCTAGCTTTAAGTGACATTTCATTTCATAATTTGTTCGCTCTGTTTGTCGTACCGTTTCTTTGAAGCCATTGGACAGCCAACGATTCTGAACAACGGCCGTAACGCTAGCTGGCGGCGCATCCAAGTCCCGGAACGAGTCCAGTATGATGAAGTCAAGGCAAATGTCGTAAAATGTCATCGCCTTCACATTGCGCTGCTCGAGCTCCATTTGGATGCACGGCCAGTTGCTGGGCTCCTGCAGATAGTTAACCATGTCCTCGTAGCCCACTAGGAACTCTTTGGTGTCCTTGTCACCCAGACATAACAGATCGGTCAGTATCTGTCGGCCCGCATCGCAAATCCATTGCCCGACGGCCGCATCTTTGAATAGATACTGAAAGGCAAGTCGCACGCAGTGCAGCTTGGCCAAATATTCGGTGTCGCTGCTGCAGTGCATCAGCTCGGTCCGCATCGTCCGACAGGGCACTGTGTACTCTTCGTGATGCTTCAGCGCAGTCTGAAACAGCGGATACTCTTCGTACGCCATCTCAATAAAGCCATCGAATTCGCGCAGATCGGCCACTTGGTCCAGGGCTGAGGCGAAGCTTTCTGCGGAATCGAAGTTGGGATCGGAGCCAACGCGACTCAATACGCTGCCCGACTTTCGCGAATGCCGATCGTCGTCCGCGTCTCCGGTGGCAGCCAATCCGTCCTCCTCAGCCTCGTCTATGGAATGTTCCTCGCGGAAGAGCACCGAGCGCTGATCAAGGAAGAGAAGTTCGCTTTGCTCCTGCAGCGTATACGCCATTTCCAGCAGGTTCTGAATCTCACGACAAAACTCCGAGTCTTCGGCTGTTGTCAGCGAGGCTGGTACTCCACCGGGCGAATAGTGCGCGGCCAGTGCATCTTCCCAAAAGTTGATCACTGTATCCAGTGCCTCCATGCCCATCACACCCAGCTGTTGGGCCGTCAGCTGCGGCACTACTCCAGCGCCAACGGCGCCTGCCAATTGCTGATTCTGTGCCATGGCACCAATAGAGCCCGACGCCATTGACAGGCGATCCGAGTACGCCACCGTCGAGCCAACGGGACTGCCCGATCGCGCCGATGCCTTCGAGCCGGCTACGGACGTCAGATCGTTGGGACTCCGCATGCTATTCCGTGTGCGTCGTCCGGTATACTTGCGCGGCCTACGGATGGGACGCGGCGGCTTTCGCCGTCGCAGGAACCGTGATAGGACACTCATCAGGGCTACGCCGGCTGTCAACGAGAAGAGCACAACCTGCAATAGAAATAGGAGGCGATCGCATTAGGTGACTGCTAGCCCGGCTGACTTGATTGAAAACTGTACACACTTTTGTCGTTGTGGATACCCGAAAGGGTAGGATGCTCCATCCTGGCGTGGCCAGGGGACGACTCATGCCTCACTTAACTGTGGAATACTTTGTACTTGGGATTCTGATTGGGATTGTGCGTGATTTTAGGTTAAACTGGCCGGTCCCAATTACGCGCGCAACTTTCAAGTCGCGTGCACATGGGCCGTTGTTTTTGCTTTCGCCAGCGTTGAATCGCGTGTTGTTTGCCCGAGTTGTTGTTGCTGTTGCCTGATGTTGTTGTTCTTGTCGCTGACCTTTTGGAGCACGTTACACCAGTAGAAGTATTATCGTTAGTTCTTCACTGATCATTTAACATACACACAAGTGCGTAAAGTTGTTTTGATATCAACTAAGTTTATGTGTTAATCAAATAGCAGTCGAGTGAAACTTTCACTTTCTTCTCCAAAACAACAATTGCATCACAATCAAAGGTTTGGCCTACAAATATGAATAGCGGCGTACTACCTGCAGTTGTTGCCAGTAAACCGAGCCGATAGTTGGCTATCGATATACCGATATAGGTTGTTAACAGCTTATTGGCAGGGCTGTTCTTTAATTCACGCAAAAGCTTAATTTCACACTCTTCCACCCGTTACTTGTTGATTTCGATCCGCACAAACAAATACACTTCTTATAAATCTATGGGAGTGCGAATGTGCTAATATTATGATTGATCATTTTGTAATATTTAAAACTTCTGCACTATTATGAAACTAATAAATAACTTATTAATTATGCACAACCAACCCATTAGCTGACCCACATAATGACAACATATACATTGTGACTAAATATCTTGGAATTTATTAAAATTACTTGTTTTTTATTTTACCAATTTATCCTTGGCTATAAGAAATAATCGATACCCTTAAGATGTTAGCTGCGAAAGTAACATTGCTTACATATGCTGCTTGCTATGCAACTCGGCGCGCACTTTAAATATGAATACTTGAGCAGTGCATAAATTGAATTTGAACTGTAAGATAAAGCTGTGATATACCTGAGGAGCTGAAGTTGGCCAGATTACTAGGAGTATAGATTGTAAAGTATAAATAAAGTAAAGGTTACTGAAAATATGGTTAGTCTGTATGCTATCACTTTTGAGAATAAACAGCGGATGTGGATAAAGACACTGCCTCTGCTGCTGCGGCTGCTGCGGCTGCTGTTGCGGCTGCGGCTGCTGGCGTTGCTGCTCTGCCAACATCAAAGTCAACGTCACTGCCTCTGGCTTAAAGCAACCGCCTGCCAGTCGAACTTTAACGGCGCTTGCTGACGGACGCGTCTGACTTGCTCTCTGGTACTGCGGCTCTCTTTCACTCCGGCCAAACGCGCATCGTATATAATTCGAATGTAAGAAGCAACGGCTAATATTCAAGACGCTTCCTTAAAGCATAAACTAACTGTTATTGTTGTGCTTTTCTCCATCCCATTCCCCATTCTCATTCCCGTTACCATTCCCATTGCCCATTGTTGCTTTATGGCCTCAGTGCGTGTGCGGTGCGTGCTAATTAAACCGTTTATTGCGTAGGCGCAAAGAGAAACTTTTTTGTCGCCTAAGAATTCTGATTTGCATTGTGTTTTTTGTTGTTGTTGGTTTTTGTATACTTTTATTGTCATCGCTTGTTTGTGATTGTTTGTTTTTTTTTGTTTTTTTGTTTTTTTTTTTGGCAACAGAAAGTGTGCGAAGAAATTGAAGCCCGGCAAGAGCGTACGTTTAAATAAAAGCTGATTGTATTTTATGCAAATTCTTTTGCAGTTGTAGCCAACTACTCGGACGACAACAGCGACGACAACACGCAGCAGCGACAGCATCATTAAAACGAGTCAGCTAGAAAGCACAGATCAGGTAATTGAAATCATAACAAATTGAATTATCCCTTGATAATGATTCCGCACGTGCACTTTGAAGATCAAGGCCAGCAGAATCCTTAACTCGACCATGGCAGAGGCAGACGCAGCGGCAAGGTCGTCGTCTACGTTGCCACTGCTATTTCCACTGCCAAGGTGAAGGTCAATGCAAGAGACGTCGGCAGCAGCTGCATGCAGTTTATTGTTGTTATATAAACGAGAGTCAGCTAGCCCAAGCACCCAACCACCCACACACCGAAACACACAGAGAGAGACTTTCACACACACACACACACACATCTATTACTACTACTACTACTACTACTAACCCAGTAAGCAACTGCGCATGTCTCTGCCGACGTCACTCTCTCCGCGTCATATCCTTTTTTCGCTGCTTTCTCTGCCATGACGCCAGCGCAGACGCTTCCGTCATGGCCGTCGCTGCAGTCACCGCAGTCGCAGCATTGAACTTGACAACAACTTTCAATGCGACAACGAGAGGCATAGCCAGCGGGAGATGGGTTAGATAGGTAGACAGAAACAGTAACAAGGTTAGTGGGTTAGCTTTGTCTGTGGGGTCTGCGCTCTGGTCTCTGGTCTCTGGTCTCCGCTCTGTGCATCGCCTCTTTCTCTGTCGCTGCTGTCGCTGGCGCTGACGTTGACGTTGGCTTTGACTGCGACGGCAGTGGTAACTGCGGCCGGATTCAAAAACCCGTTATCAAGTGCTCATGTGCTCTTTGATCGTCGCTTGCTCATGGGATTTATTTTACAAGTCGCTTTACACCCGCCCATCCGCTCATCCGCTTGTCCGTTTCTCTGCTCGTTCGTCATTTAATATTGGAAAATAAAA